TTTCGAAATCGATTTCGATTCTTCACACACGATTAGTTTCACGAAAATATTTCTGTTTATGGAAGTGTTTTCTACTAATTATAACAAGGCCTTTATTCTTGAAATAGTTGCGTATACGTAAGTTTTACTGCGCAGGTTTAGTCATACCATAAAATAATTGCGCAATGAAAATTACGTATACGCAAAAATAAGTAGTAAGAAGTAGGAAGTAAGAGTAAGAAATTGACCAACCACAGTCGAATGTGAGAATAATCAACTATAATTGGTCAATTTCTTATTCTTACTTTCTACTTCTTACTGCTTACTTCTAATGTAGACGTCCCTTTAAGGGACGTCTACATTGGAAGTAAATAGCAAGAACTAGGAAGTAAGAGTAAGAAATTGACCAACCACAGTCGAATGTGAGAAGAATAATCAACTATGATTGGTCAATTTCTTATTCTTACTTCCTACTTCTTACTGTTTACTTCCAATGTAGACGTCCCTTTACTGTTACGAAAAGTATGTGTGGCTAGCTTTACGTCGGCTGTACGTCACTCCATGCATGCGTAGTGAGCTCCCGTCGCGGAAATCTCCTGAATTGCAGCGCTATTCGGGAGTGCAGAAGCGATATCTCGCGGTGCAAGGGACGTCGCAACCATTTTCATCGATAACATGTTTTCATCTATAATGAAAGGTGCAGCAATCATTACATGATTATTAATAAAACGTATACGTGTCCAGTAAACGGACGTATTCGTTATTAAGTATTACAGCAATACATCGTATTATACGCGATCACGTTTCCATAGACACGGGTGAAATCTGGAGCCGATTATTCGACCATCGTCCGTTCGTCCAAGGAGAAATCACATTCTTCTTGCGAGAGTTCCAGGTGAGCGATGATTATTGCTCTCGTGATTGTGTTACCTTCCGAAGCTATCGCTTGGAGTTTCAGTTATCGAATAAGACTAGTCCGATTTCGTAACCAAAAACAGCTGACTGACATTTGGAGTTCGATGTTTGGGCGTTCACGTTTTAGGAGAAGCGAGCCGACCGTGAGGTGGAACGTCTTTTTAAGATACTCGAGTACACAACAGAATTGAAGGAAAGCCAATTGGATCGCACTGAACAGCTCGGGGATTGTCATTTACCTAGTCTGAAAGCAAACGCGGATGTTGCATTGAGCATGTGTAATCGTGTTCTACAAAGAGAAGAGAATTTTGATAGTGTAAATATAAACAAATTAGATTTTTGACCTGTTCTTTTTAACTGCACTACTAAACCAGTGCAATAAGTTAAATAAGTATAAAGTGAAACAAGTATATTTTTTTTCACTCCAACTCATTGTACTAGTTTCAGCAGTGCAGCTAAAAAGATCACTTGTGTTTACAGTTAAAATTTTGTGCTATTAACACATTATAACTCTTGTGTATATTTTTTGCATTTATTTCTGATTTAACTGCCATGGTATGAAGATGTATTCGAGTGCGATTTGTTATTTTTTTGTAAAATACTTGGAATTATTTTCAAGAAACATTTGAGAATAGAGATTTGAAAAGATTGGGAAAAAGTAGGAGAGTGATCGAGTAAGAAAATGGGCATAAAGGAAATATGAATAAATAGTCACAAATATCTTTGGGAAACTGAAAATATGGTAGCTGACATCACCAAACACAGAAAAATAAAATTTTTGTATTTTAGCCAACTTAAGATAAAGGTAGTTTAATATTTTTTTATCTATTTTCAAACTTTATCTCTTAGAGAAAGTTTTCAAAGAAAAAATAATGGGCTATAATGTGTTAACAGCTTAATGTGTTAATAGCTTAATGAATATAATAAATATAATAATAAATATATTAAATATAATAAATATTAAAGAACAGTTTAATTAATATGCAGGGTGTTTCTTAAGTTTATTTATAGTTAAAATTGTTTTATAAAGTTTTATAAAGTTTTTAATATCTTATTATCTTTAAAATGAGATCACACTTGAGATCCTTTGAGATCATATGCTTTAAAATATTGGACAGTACTTAAGAAACATCTTGTAGATGTTATGCTCTTTCTTTCTATAGGATAGTGTTCTGAATGGAAACAGATTAGTCAGAAGGAAGGAATGGGAGAAATTTGTAAATGATATGAGCGATAAGTGTCAAAGAGTGGATCAAACCTTCCAAGAGAAAGAGAACGAAATACAGGAGTTCTATATCGACTTGGAGAAAAAATTGCATATTACAGTATAGGACAATACATTCCCAAATCTGTCCATACAAATCTTACTCTAGCATTGAACCAATTAATGACATATTCCTCAGAAAAGTTTGCATAGATCTCACATAAACATGCCAATAGAATCAATCACGGATCCTACTATAAGAATCAAGTCAGCTAAGCTGACTGATTTCATCATGAAAAATGTAGGAGAGTCAGATAATGCGCCGATTGGAATCATATCTTTAATCCAATCTAAGGAATCTAAAATGAAGATTGCAAATGCTACATTGAAATTGGAGGATCTCATGTGGCTGAACAAATATTTGAAAGATAATAGAGAGACTGGAATGGAGAAAATTTACCTGCACAATCTTTTAGATATTTCTGACGTGATACTGCCGTCGCCAGAAGTCACAGCACGGAATCCAGAGTTGGAAGCTAGAATGAAAAAGTTAAGAGCGCAAGAAAATACTAGAAAATATCAAGCAATGACAAAAAATATTGATTCCGTACGGAAGTTCCTGCCCGAGGACAGCATCGCATATCAAAGTAAATCAAATATATTTTTTCTGTATAATACTAAAAAGATATTCTAGTTTAGATAGCCAAAATAGAAGACTCCTATAAATTTTGTTCTAAAAAAATAAATAACGATATTTATACAGAGTTTTTATTACTTATCATTATTTTAAGAATTAAAATTAAAAATAAATTCTGTTGCAGGTTGTTTGTGCTAAAATGCCTCTAACTAACTGATAATACTATAGCTCGTGTAATAATCTGAAACAAATAAAATAAGAAAACTAAAAAACTATTAAATTTGCTAAAGGATGAATCTAAATCCTTTAGAAAATTTCCAAAGTTAGTATTTTTCCTTAGACACAAAATAAAAGAGAAAGGAGATAAATGAGACTTGTAACTTTTTTCTCATTACTTTAAACTATCTTATTTATTTTAAACTATTGTAATGTTATCTATTAGTTAGAGACGACACCGCATTTAGCACAAAAATCTGAACAAAATTTTTTAAAACAGAACTTTTTATACTTAAAACAGTGATAAATAGTATGATCAAAGGTCTAAATTTTTATTAATCTACATTCTTATTAATATCTTTATTCATTTCTTTGAAAAAAATCGTGAAAACCTCTTATATTTTCGGCTATTTAAACCAGAACCTCCCTTTAATAATTTCTATTTCTTTTCTATCTTTCTTTCTCTTAATGTGTCTTTGCAGTGAAGCAGCTAAACAAACAACTTATTGCCGTTGCGCAGTTTATATTTTCCGTGATGGCTGGCTTCGCTTTTGGATTCATTGGAGTGGAACTCCTGATTGGGGACTTAGATTTTGGATTTAGGTTACTTTTAGGTATAATATGTGCGCTAATTATAGCATTAGCTGAGTTTTATTTTCTGGCTCTGAAATTAAACGAGCTCGATAATTTCGAAATATCTGTGAATCTGTTAAATGTCAATGTCAAAACAAAGTTGCATCAGGACTAACGTGCAAATTTCATTTGTTCGATTATTTTAGTGTATCTCCAGGGAAAAGAGATTATATATGAAAATTTTGTCTTTGGCAATACATAATCATATGTATTATATATATACATTATATATATATATATATATATATATATATATATATATATATATATATATATATGTGCTGATATTGGAAAAATGCTGTTATAAAACAAATACAATTGAAGTAAATGCTTAAATTCTTAGCAACTCGTAATGTTTAATTAACGTTCAATTGAATGTAACTATTTCTTTCTTTCTTCATTCAACATTTTGTCTGTATGTATATAGACATGTGTATTTATATATGATCATAGATATATGTGATTATACATGAGCTTTATATATATAATCTTTATGTGATCATATATAATCCTATATAATCTTTTTTCTCTCTTTTTGGTTATATAATAAATAGGACGGAGAACTAACATTATCTTGAACACTAATAAATAAGTTATTTGACATTATACTAAATTTATGTTGTATATAACATAAGAATGTTAGCAATTCTACAAAAGACATTGTTACAAAAGACATTGTATCATTACTAAAAGACAAAATCAACGACATAGACCAAGCATTTTCTCCAGAAAGCAAAGCCAGAAATTGGCAGTTTGAGACAAAATAAGAAAGCTATTTTGCATCTACTGCTTTCTCATTCTATCTTAGAATGTCTGTCAAGAATCGCTATATTTGTGCTACAGTAATCAGGTTAAGTGTATGTTTATAAAAAAATATGTAAAAGGAAAAAAAGGAAAAAAAAATATATGAAAGAAATATAAAAATATAGATAAAAAGTTTTATTAACCCAAGTTTGCTATATTTGAGTCCTTGGTTTGCAATATTCCACTTTGTAAGACTGTTAGACTTTTTTATTTATTATTTTTATTTTAATTAATGTTTTTAAGCTCATAGTATAGGAATAAGTTTTATAAAAATACTATATCACATTATATTAACTAAACTATTATAATACATAATCTCTGTTTTGTGCCTATAAAATTGAATTTCATCCAATTTGTGTCATAAATGTATGCCACAAATGCAACAAAAAACCATTATTGTTTTAACAATTTTATTATTCGTATCTTTTCTTTCACTGTTTACAGCTAAAGGTAGGTTAGGTACCTATGTTTGCTGTCATATAAGCTGAGTGAGAAGAAAGCAGTAAACACAAATCAACTTTCTTTTTTAGTCACAAACTGCCAATTTCCAGCTTCACTCGCCACTATAATAAAAATATACGAATGCTTGGTTTATATGTAGGTATATATATTGTTAAACAAGATATATTAAGACAACAGCTGTTCATTCCTATTTTAACCATAGTTTTGTTCATGTTGCTTGTACTTTTGATACTTTTACATCTGTTGTACATTGGATTTCTTTTTAAAAAGAAGAGCTCTTATTGGATTTCGTTTATTTGCATCTGATATGCAACAGACATTAGGTGCAAAAATGTCAATAGTGCAAGCAATGCGAACAAATCTCTCGACTTTATACTGTTACTTCATAAATAAAAGTGTGGTATTATTAGTGTAAAAATTTATTTAATAATTATTCATTTTATACTATTAAATGATTAATGTACATTGTACAATGTGTGCAGAATATAAATGATGCGAATATACAATTGACATATATTTGCCACCTCTTTATGTGCATGTATAAAAATAACAATAGTTTTAAAAAAATTTTTTTCCTGAAAATTTCCAGCTGAGAAGGCTGAGAACTTTAGCCTAAAATGACTACTAATCATAGTCATATTATTGATATGACTATGATTAGTAGTCATATTAATTCCATATTGATACACCAATGCAATCAGTGAGATGACAATGCATTCTCTCACAATGATAACATATTTTATATCCAAAAATAGAACTTTACGCGTAGAAAACATCGCAGACTGATTTAAATTGAAATGGTCTTTGCCAGACACGGAGACTGGACAGGCACTCATCTCTTGCTGTCATCCTCACTGTCACTTTTAACACTACTTTCACTTTTCTCACTGACTGAAGTACCATTCTCTTTGCTCTCACTTTCGCGCTCACTGGTCGAAGAATTTCCATTCTCCGCTTTCGTCTCATCACTATCCGAGCAGGAGTCCGTGTCCGAATCACTGTCGCTGTCAGAATCCGAGCTGCTTTCGGAGGAGTTACTGCGGGACTCGTTCTTGGCCGCCATCATTTCTTTGAACTGTCTGACGGTGATCTTTCTGGGCATTATTTCCCGGAGAAACTCCAATGTATCGTTTGTCTGCACCTCCTCCGCTAAATGTTTGTAATCCAGCGAGGATCCCTTGTTGCTCTGCATGTGCGCCTCTTCTGTCAAATAATGTATGAAGAGTTCCTGCGGAATGCATATCAAAGGGGTATGTAACAAAGGCTGTGTTCGGGGAGACGCCATTTAGCGCTATGAGCGTCTTCTGTCCTTGTTTAACTTTCAGGAACAAGGACAGAGCACACTCATAGCGCTAAATAGCGTCTCAACGAACGCAGTTATAATTTAATACTTTTAAAATTTAATACACACACTTCTCGCCTATAGCACACGCGCGAGTTTCCTTACCGTAGCTTTTGTAACCAAGTACAATCCGTCCTGCCCGACTGTGTCAACGTAAGGAGAGCTCTTCATAATCGTTTTTACCCTCGAGATGGGCAAGCGTAACTCTTTTATCTTTGTAGGAGAAGTCTGCGTGGACATTATTGTATTTATTTTCGACTAAAAAAGTCCGGGAAAGTGAGATATTACTCAAACACAATTAAAAAGCCGGCAGCTGCACGAGCAGCTGGCGAGTAGCTAACGGCCCAGGATTGTCAGGATTCTAGAACCAAGCTCAAGGCCTGTAGTCTGTTCTTTTTAGCTGCATATATCACATAGATGAGTATTGCAATATTCGACATTATTGGAATATTTACAGATGATTACCAAATAGTTATAATATAAAATAGTACTTTAAGTTTTGATGCTGTAAATTTATCTTATAAAATGTTTAAATGTTTCTATAAATATTACAAATGTGGCTTTAATGATGAAATAGTTACAAACACAGTTAGATGTTTTTTCAATCTTCTGAAATTTGTACATTATTGCTTGTCTAACATATCGGTCTAACATATCCGGTTTGTAAATGTTGTCAAAGTTTCTAAATTGATGATTTTTAAGTTTTAAAAATGTTTTTCAAGTTTGACGTTATATGGCGCATTATGTTTTCTAAAATTGGCGAGAGGTGGCTTCTTAAGTCTTCCGATTTGGCGCATTAATGCTTCTAGTAGTTTTGGCAATCTGTCTGACAGTTCGATTCTAGTCGTGTTGAGTAATTCAATTCGGCGATGTGTCAATTTATACGTTGAAAGATAGTGTTATATTTTGTATTTATAAACTTTTTATAGACAGTTTGTTAATTAATGTTTGGAGAGGATGAAGGTGCATTCAGTATCTTGCGTGTTGATATTGTTTCCTCTCTTAATGACATGTCATACGTGGGAGGTTCGTTTCTTTTCTTACATTACAATTAGATTTTCTTATTTTCTGCTTAATGATTATTGATCTTATAGATATCAGATAACTTTGCAAAAACTGAACATTCCAACAATTGGGCTGTTTTGGTCGATACGTCGCGCTTCTGGTTTAATTATCGCCACGTTGCGAACGTTTTGTCTATTTATCGAAGTGTCAAACGCTTGGGAATACCAGACTCGCAAATCATTCTTATGATAGCCGATGATATGGCGTGCAATCCCAGGAATCCGAGGCCGGCAACTGTTTTCAATAATATCAAGCAACATATTAATGTTTACGGCGATGATGTGGAAGTAGACTATAGAGGTTATGAAGTAACTGTCGAAAACTTCGTGAGATTGTTGACTGGTCGTTTAGCACAAGAAACGCCCAGATCAAAGAAACTGTTGACCGATGAAGGCTCAAATATCCTGATATATTTAACTGGTCATGGTGGCAATGGATTTTTAAAGTTTCAAGATTCTGAGGAGATCACAAGTCAAGAGCTGGGAGATGCTTTAGAGCAGATGTGGCAAAAACGGAGATATCACGAGATTTTATTTGTTGTTGATACTTGTCAAGCAAGCTCAATGTATGAGAAATTTTACTCGCCAAATATTTTAGCAGTTGCATCCAGCTTAGTAGGAGAAGATTCTCTTTCTGTAAGTCATCATCAACAAGATTTGATAATAACTAGTTAATTTAAAAGTTAAGTTAAAGAACAAGAAGTTAGAGAAGAATTAAAATTAGTTAATTTTCTACTTAAACTAGTTACTTTAAAAAGCATTAAATTATTAACTTTTTTAAATGCAAAATAATTTATTAATATTAAAATTATTCCAAATTGTTTATGCATAGAATAAAAACAATTAAAATTAAAGCTAGTAGAATTTTTTATCTTTTAAAGTGACAATATTCTTGTATGAAATTCCAAATACAAAATTGTATCTTTTTGTGAAAGATCACCTTTTCATTATATTCTACAAAAATTTAATCTAAATTAAATTATATAAATAGTTAAATATGCAAGAAATATATGTTGCTTAGCATAATTAACTTTTAATTTAAATAAAGTAATTTTAATCTTTCATTGAGTTAATTTTTGTTTATGTAACTTTTAACTTAGCTAAGTTAATTTTATAGGTCAACTTAAAATTTAGTTGAAAAATATTTAATTTACTTAACTCTAGTTATCAACTAGTACTTAATTATACAATTGTATTCAAATGGTTTAATGTATATAACATCTCTCTTGTTGTGTTTTCAGCATCATGTGGACCCAGCCATAGGTGTTTATATTATAGATCGATACACCTATTATGCATTAAATTTTCTGGAAAAAGTAGAGCCGTCTAGTACTAAAACATTAGGAGAATTTGTAAGTGCTTTATTCTTATGATTTTAACATCAGATTTTTTAATCTTTCCTGTCACACTTTTTTCCAAGAATACTTAATTTTTCAGTTGAAAGTTTGCCCAAGGGATTACTGCCTATCCACAGTCGGTGTAAGAAGAGATCTCTTCAGAAGGGATCCAGATAAAGTGCCGGTAACAGATTTCTTTGGATCACTTAGGCCAGTGGAGCTTACGACGAATGTAGTCAATGTTTTGCCCATCAAAGCTAATCGCACGAAAATTCAGGATCCAGAAAGGAAATATAGCTATGTTGCACAATTTCCTGCTGTATCGCAATATACGTGAATAATAAGAATAATCAAAAGTTCCGTAAGTTTACTATATCCCGGAACATTTTTATTTAGTTTGAATGGAAATTTTATTTCCACTAAACTGATACAATGTATCAGTTGCTGATGATTAGTTGATCGTATGTCATTCGTAGTCCAGTTTTTTTTATATCGTATTGCTTTCTGAGCAATCTAGTCATCTAACTTCTCTTATGACGAATTTGACTGGAAGCACTAGTGCGCATCATTGCATACTAAGGTCGTTTCATAGTCTGTTCTTATACTTAAGATTGTCTTAAATTTGCTCCCGAATGCTCCGTAATTAGTGTAACAATTTAGCATCTGAAGATAAATATAAAATGATTTTAAATGTAAGATAAAATTCTATTAACACAGGTGAAATATAAGAACAGACTATAAATTGGCCTTAGTGTGCATTAGTGCGTACTAGTGCTTCCAATCGAATTCGCTATTAGGAATAAGAAAAGAAGAAAGAAAGATAGAAATATACAATAATACGATAAATAATGTTAGATTGCAACTTTCTAGGAATTCGCGTTTGTTTCACTGTTTTTTACTAGGCAATTATGCATGCATATATTAATTCTTGGAAATTTCACTATTCTAAAGCAATAATCAAGCGGATCGTGAATATCTTTGCCTTGACCTAGATCAGCACAGATCAGTGAAGTGATTTTTATAAAAATTGTAGCTTGTGTGGAAACATCAGTCATACATGATAAACGATTCTATGTATAGCACTGAATGACGTATGGCATTGCATATCAACTTAGCAGAAAATGGGATTTCCACTATGACTGATTGTGTGTTTGTATATAAACAGTTTTATGAGACGAAAATATATTGATTGAGTGCCAGTCTCGCACGATACTCTCACTTGGATAAACGATTTATTGTTTCCCAGCCCATCTGTGCAGCATATACATACATTAGATATCAACTGATAAGAATTTGCTGCCACTTAAAGTAAGTATTAGTTGAATTTAGCAAGAATAAGGCTCCATGATAAACAGGCTGCGTCTCGATATTCAATTTTAGTACTGGAAATATGTAGTATACACAACATGAACTTTAGATTTTCAGCATTGATAGTGAATATCAGGATACAGTCACAGTTGCAATTGAAAAAGTAAGAGTCAGTGTGCATGCGTTTTGTGTGATGCAACAAATAAATTTATTATAGACCAATTTCTTTAATCAGGATGCTATTTTAATATTAATAATTGATCCAAATGTTTGGATTAATTGTCAATATTAAAATGACATCCTGATTAAGAAAATTTATCTATAATAAATTTATTAATTATACTAAAACACATTGTGTATTGGTTCTTACTTCTCCGATTGCGTAAGTACATATTCTTTATGTAAAATCCTGATCTTTGTCCGGGCCTATCTGTTTATAGCAAATCGAGTCGTTATTACGCGCAGAATCGAGCCGGTCAAGAAGTTCACTTCGGTTTTCTCAAGTTTATCTCAACAATCGTATCAAACTTCTCACCTGATGCAACAGATAGCTAATGCCGTGCAATTGTAGTAATCAACGGTAATTGAGGATAATTGTCATCGAAATATGCTGCAGATGCGGTACACATTTTGTTGGACTTTGTGGCTGCTAACCAGCACCACGACTCACGCCTATATAACGAAACAAACGTTCATAGAAGTGCACGAGATGAGTTCTAAGGAGTTCTCGCCCACCGACCAATTGGCTCCGATCGATCCAGCATTACATGCTTTCCCCACGACACCAACTGTACCTCTTTTGCCGAATTGCGTGAAGCAAGGCTATTTGCGCGATCCGTTCAATTGCGGCAAGTTTTACCGTTGCGACTACGATCGCGACGTACCAATGGCGTTTTACTGTCAATCGGGACTGATATTTAATACGCTCACCGAATCGTGCGATCGTCCTCAGTACGTACAGTGTTGACCGTATGTGGCTGTATGTGTTGGCCGAGGGTGTATATGTAATGTGACGTGAGTAATATCGCACGATCTGGATACTGAGTTACGCATAAGACGACTCGCACGACAAATGTACTGGGAAAAAGTTGCTTTTTACTATAATTGAACATGAAGATATATTTAATTATAATATTTACATACGTAATACAGAATTTAAAAAGATATTTGTTTTTTTTTATCTTGTACAGGGTGTATCAAGTACAAGCATTGCTGTCGTCGTTTATCTTTCATGAAACTTTCCTTCTTGCAAACGCTACTGGGAATTGCGGGTGGTTGCGTCGTTAGTGGTTGTTCCGTTTGCGGTCCATCGTTATATAGCATCGTCCAATCGTTTATTTTGGGCAATCCTGAACATTGTCTTTAAAATCGCAAGCGTTGATTTTGGTATTAAAGACCAGCCCTGGCGCACAGTTGAATTTATGTGGTTCTAGTGTACCATGATTGTTAACGCATTGGTAAAACACGCTACAATCTTTATCATCTCTCACGAAACCTTCCTTCTTGCAAACGCCACCGGGAATTGCGGTTGGTGGCTGGGTCACTGGTGGTCGTTCCGTTTGCGGTTTGTCGGTCGGATCAGGGTTAGGCCGTGGTGGCGGTATTGTTCCTCTTATGCCAGCGTTCAATGTTTTAAGTAAGGGATACTTCTCACCGCACAAGCCATTAAAGTCGTCAGTTTCGATACTCCACATCATCGCACCGCCGAGACCCCTTTTCTTAATATAGTCAGTCTTCTCCATGAGAGAGCTGCAAAACGACAGACGGTATGTAATGCTTGCGTCACGTCGAATATCTCCGCTCGATAGGAGAGACACCGTATCGCAAGAACGGAACGGAAGAGATCTTGCGTGTTATTGAAATTATAAGAAATGCGATGCGAGAGAATAAATTGTTAAAAAACAACTTACGTTACGTCATCGTAGCCCATCCATTGATTGTCCTTATAAGCGTACGGGGTGCGATGCTCCTTATCACGGACAACGGTCCATCCGCCCTGCTTCAAGGCAACGCAGATCTCGTTGTAGCCGAACATTCCATTCTCGCGAGTCCATTGTCCAGCGGTGCCGGGTCCGGTCGTAGGAGCTCCAAGTCCGGTCTTGGTCCTGTCGGCGAGGGTGAACGTTCTGGCGTAGAATGGCACACCGACGATCAGTTTGTGGGGCGGGCAACCGTTGTTCAACCAATAATTCACACATTCGTCCTGCGGGAAGGAAGATGTTATCAGCAAATATTAGAATTCGTCGTTTATAAAGGGCGTTAATAGTCGTTCTTTGAAACTCACTTGACCCAAGTGAGATACTTAGATTTCAATTTAGAGTTAGATATAAGTTTTTCTTTTATAAGCGATTCAACTTATAAAAGTTTTACTTTTATAAGTTGGGTCGCACGATTACAAATATAATGTCACGTTTATCGTATGATTTAACTAAAAAAACTCTTAGATTTAACTCTAAATCCCGATCTGAGTATCGTACATGAGGCAAAAGCACGACAATTACGAGTGTCAGGCCCGTATTAAGTCATTTTTTTAAATTTGTTCCAAATACGATACATTTAAATTTAAAATTCGATGTGAGTTTTTCAGTTGAACCACAATTACAAATATAATTATACAATTAAACTGAAAAACTCACATATCTAACTTTAGATTTAAATCCGAATACCTCACGTGAGACAAACTTCAAGTAAAAGCTATTAACACCATAGACCTGCATTAATAGTCGTAACTTGAAACTTGCTACAGATAAGAAAGTCATATTTGAATTTAGAATTAAATATGGTCGAGTTTTTTAATTCATCGATGGATCCCAATCTGAATTTTTCAGTTAAACTGCAATTATAAGTGTCATGGATATTGTAGAATTCAAATGAAAAATTCTGATATAATTTAAAATTCAGACTAGAGTATCTCAAATTTAATTCGAGCCATGTTAATAGTTGTTACTTGAAACTTGCCTCAGATGAGATACTCAGATATGAATTTAGAATAGAGTTAGTGCGAGTTTTTCAGTTGACTCGCAATTACAAATATAAATGTCGCGTATTCTATACGATTAAAATGAAAAATTCAATTCCAACTCAAATATATTTACACTTAAAATATCTTTGAGTATTTTGACACAAGTTTTAAGTAATTAATATTATAGATTATAATAGATTATTAATACAGCAAAGCGATTCAATATCAACCACCGTTTCGATAAGTTACCACAGAAAGAACTGATATACTTACGACATTGAGCTTAAGATCGTTTCCGGTCTCGCCCGTGCGTGGATAAAGCGGAGCATTGTGTCCGGTTTGCTTCTCCCATGAACCGTGTAAATCGTACGACATTATATTGATAAAGTCCAAATGCTTGGAGATTTCGGCAATGTCATAAGATTGAGAGGCGGAAGATTCAGCGGCACCCACGGCGGCAGTAAGGAGCAATCCGTGTGGTGCGTATGCAGCTTTGGTTTCCTTGAGTAAGATCGAGAAATTATCTTTGTCTTCTGGTTTGCCGCCACGTTGATTGGGATACTCCCAGTCCAAGTCCAGACCGTCAAATCCGTGTTTCAGACAGAAGTCCTTGGTACTTTCGACGAAATTCTTACGGAGCGCCGGACTGGCGGCCATTGTGGAATATCTGGCGGATCCCTCGTTCCATCCACCCATGGCGATGAGACACTTGGTATCGGTGTTCTTGCAAAGCTTGACGAATCTGCCTATAGCGCCTTTACCATAATTATCTGAGAGCTCATTCCATGAGTCCAAGACTCTCACATGGCCAGTTTCGGCCAACCCGATGAAGGAGAAGATGAGATGGGTACAAAGAGTCGGGTCGATGTCTTCAACATCGAATTTACCTTGTCCTGGGCGGTAAACGGCCCAGCTACCAAAGTAGCACACGATCTTGTCCGCTGTGTGATCGAAAAAAACAATGCTGTATTAATTCCACTTGCTTCATATAGCAGAAGAAACTCTAATTAATCAATACTTACTATTAGCTTGTGCAACGGAAGCCAAAGCAGCTAATGCTGCGAGAAGGATCCAACGATTCATCTGTAAATTCGTTGTTTAGCGAGATGACCTTTTGCTTTTGGAATCTTAATCCGTATTAATAGTCGTCACTTGTAACTAACAAACGAACTAACAAACTGAACACTTTACACATGAGGCGAGTTTCAAGTAACAACTATTAATACAAATTTCAGATTTAGACCTTCGACACACAAGCGCGTGCGCGTACTAATCGAATCTCTCTGTCATATTTCTTTTAATCACACGTATCGGGTTTCGCTGTCTTCTTTCCTCTCGTTCTTATCGATACCGAAACTTTATTGATTTTTAAACGCGATAAGCGTATCAATCGATCGTTAGAGCAGACTAATGCTACAATTGTAGACAGAATCGCAAGTCTCGTAACTAGTTCTCGTAAAATTCGTAAGAATTTATGAATAGATACAATTCTATACATATCATATGTTATACGATTACTTGTAAATATCGTAAAGTACGTGAAATCGTAGATATTTACGAATGATTATATGATACAGTACGTATAGAATTGTAAATCTATTTACAAGTCCTTACAAATTTTATGAGAGCAAGCTACGAATCTTACGATTCTGTTTAGAATTGCAGTATAAGTAAGATGTTCTTACCTTGCGAGCGATATTCGATTTCTATGGTATTATTTTCCCTAAATAAAACCGAAATTTCACTTGCCGACTCGGCTTATATACTCTGCTGATATCAATACAATTATCGCTCGTTTAGTTCGTTTGACAATGATATAAGGTCGATAAATTAATACATTAACACAAGTCTGTACATATTGTTATCATCATCGTATAAGAACACACAGGTGCACCGGACGTCACTACGTAATTTGTTCTTTGTTTCTACTTCATTTTTCAATTTTTTTTTCTTTGAACAGTTGATTCTACAATTAAGTCAACAGACCTGACCCGCCGTTTTGGCGTAAGTATTACGTTTAAACGTTCTGCATCGAATTGTGCAAAATAATCGATTATCGGGGCATATTTCTTCGAAAGTTTGCTATTACCGCTATTATAACGATGAAAAATATGATAGTGCAATATTTATAATACCATATATACATATATAGTATAACTGATGTAGAATCAAGAAAAGAAGAGAGCGATTTAACGTTATTTTTCACTTGTCTTATTTACGTTTGCTGCATTACGCGCGAATTTGCTGTTACGTAAATTTTTCACAAGTGCGAAGCGTTATCGAGCAACAATGTACAATTGAAGCAACAATGTTACGAAAGAAATGTGTAATTACGAACAGATGTTACATTAACTGCACGCGAATGAAAAATCGCGTCACTAAATTAACGCAATTAACATTTTACTCTCCAAATTTCCTGGAGTGGAATCTCATATAAAACGAATAAAAGGTGGCATTATTTTCATTCAAAATAATAAAATGAAAATACTGCCACTCGAGATCGTAAGAGTGAACACTTCTCTCATACTTAGAACGGAATGGATTCTTTTGTCTTTATTTAGCCCTTATAGAAATATCATACTAAGAATCATTGATAATTACTTATTTTCAGTATTAAAAATACTGGATAATAAGTAATTATCAATGATTCTTAGTATAATATTTTTATAAGGGTGTTAGAAAGAAAGACAAAGACACATGTTTAAGTTTTGCTTAGGTAATTATGCAGTATAGGGGATGCAACTCGACCTTAACATATATTGTAAAAGTCACCCTCTTGAATAACTTTAAAAAGGTTTTAGCCGTCGCCCATTGTTTATTAAAAAGTTATTAATAAAAAAGTTTCACATTAATAACGTACAGTTTCATTATTCGAGCTGCATAATTATCCTTTTTTTGTTAATAACTTTGTAATAAACAACGAGCAAGGTTAAAATCTTTTGAAGGTTACTCAGGAGGGTGATCTCTATAATATAAGTCAAGAGCATCGGAGATACTTTCCCTAAAGTAAATAATTATCGCTCTAGATTCCAATTTAAATTTAAGCTCTCGAACTGTCGTAATCTTCTCAGTCAGATCAGTAATTCGACTCGATTATTCAATCGTCTATGCAATGTATGAATGAGAATCGAAATCAAAACTGAGACAGAGAGAAAGATTAAAAATATATTTACAATAAACGCCTTATAGAACTTAATTCTTAATTACCTTTGACTGCGCTGGTAAGTCAAAGTAGTTTTCTCTCGTTGGGCGTATCTCGATAGTACTTTTAAACGGTTGAAAATAATCTACTGATTGCGACGAATGATATTCTGATAGTCTCACCATTCATATCGAATGTGAGTCTATTAACGTGATATTTATACCTTGCCACAGTAAAAGTCTACAATTGCAAACAAACTAAATCGCAGGGGAATTACGATAATGCTGAACACTTCCTTGTACGTGGTACGAGACAACACCCAATTTATCACTAATTATGAATCTATTCTACGCAATGTGACACGCTGATTACAGTGGATAGGCTCGTCTATGTACTTAAGATGTTTATACCTTTCAGTACATGTCATAAGCCGACTGCTTTAATCAATTTTTAGGTGAGTCATTCTAATCGTAATCTTGGTCCCTGCTTGTACGATTGTGGCAACGAATAGTAGCAAAGTGTCCAGATGTTCCGTTTTTATAGAGATCCGATTTTTCACCCTTTATTCCGGATTTTTTTAACGCTATTTAGGACGTCGATTTCCTAGATTCGGCTAATATTAATATCTAAAAATCTATATGGTAATTTACAAAATGGTAAAGGACTTTTTTGTTCAGTTTGATTAAATATGTAAGTATGCAACGGCAGACGGCGCCAATGCAGCTCATCTACTATATTGCGCGTGATCATTCATCAATTTTTTTTAATTAATATCTCGACTATTATTGCGAATATCGCAAAACGGCACAGGACTTTCTTACTCATCTCAATCCGTTCTACGTTCTCACCAAGGGTCATCATGGAGGTTCGGGACACCCTGTATATGTGTATGTATATACTTTTTAAATCCCTCTTGATCTACACATTTACGAATTGTTTCAAACTTGAGGCTGGGAAATTTGGTCACCTCAGTAGTAGTACAGCATAAAGCTTACAATTTGCATCACAAAATTTGTTAATAGCAAACGCACAAATAAATGACAACAATGTATAATATAATAATTATTTTCATTTTTCACCTCTCGATATTTTCACTGACTTACAATACAAAAACAATGATGCTTATAAACGCATCTTAATATTAGTCTATATACTTTTTGTATAGTATTAATTAAAATTTCTTAGTTCCTTTGATTAGATTGTTTCTCCTTAACCCTAATTTTCGTAATCTTCTCCAGTATTGCTTTGTATTTTGGTCCATTTGTTCTAAACTTGGAGCAGGGCCAGTTCTAAGAGTCCACAACCAACTAGGATATTCTGAATCTGCCTTTATCTTGATATCTTCTCCTCCTTCCTTCAATAGGTTTGTTCCACATACATGAGTTTGAAGCCTGTGAGTATCTGTTTCCACAGGTAATTCCTTTTTTGGCATTGAAGCCATTATCTTCTTTGGTTTCTTCACTAAATTTTGTTAAAAAAAAATTTATCATTATTCTTATTATTATAAGTTTTGAAATAACTTAGAATTATTTGAAGTAACTTAGAGTTAACCATAGATATATTAATATATGACTTTATCATCTATTTTATCATCGATAAATATGATCAACAAATAAGGATGTTTACTGAATATGCGGTTCACTTTTATATACAAGTTCTATAACCAGTCTTTTCAAACAGTAAATTATATCATACATACCCGTTAATATCATACAATAATAACATTATATCAATGTCATAATTTTTCACTTAGCAATATAACTGTCATATATAACTTGTATTATATTATATTTAATATGTATTTACAATATCTTTACTTCAGTGGAAAATTATAATGTTATTATTATTTCATGTTCACTGAGAATTTATTAATTAATGTAATATTGATAGCAATTGAAATATCTTACTTGAGTCAGATTTTGATTGTGTTGCATATTGAATCGATATCATAGAATGGTTTTTTGGAAACCGAAAAAGCCGATAAATCATAGAATTCATTTTCTATTTAGCCTATGAAGGACCTGTGTTTAAATAAATAAATATTAGAAAGTTAGGTTAAATAAAATTGAAAATAATATAGCATTTTGTCTATAAATTTCTCTCTTCTTATAGAAGATGTATTATAGTCATGTTTTCTTTTTTTACCTATTTATTCTATAATATATTTCTAATATATTATTTCTAATATATTATTTAGATTTATACACAAAACTTCTAATTTTCTGTGAATTACACAACCTCAATCTTCTATAACCAGTGATGTCTCGTAGCGGTCGAGTTTCGAACTTATACAGTGTATTGATATATGACACCGCTAGATGGCGCTAGGTAGCCATTAGACGGCTATTATAACGAGAACCAAATATTATCAAAAGATTCTAGTTCTATAAGCTCCGCTACGAGTCGCCACTATTTTTAATCCGAAATCGAGGTCGTAGTTGAATTTAATGAGATAAATCAAAATTTTTTTCTTTTAAATAGTATAATTCAACAGATCTCAATAATTTGTTTGTGCGATTAAAAATTGTCTAATATAATTATTTATAAACGATACGATTACTTGGTAAATTCACATTTCTCAGGTAAAGTTATTTTTTGGAAGAATGATTAATATTAAAATTCTCTAGATATATTTTGGAGATACATATACATTATTTTAAGCAGAAATTTTAATCTAACTGAATTGATTAATAAATAATTATTTAATTTATCTGAAAAGTGCATCCTTTATTTTAAAGTTTAAACTATCGTCTCTATTTCTTTGAAAAAAAGAGAAAGAATTAAAGACAACTTTTAGACTAGCGACTTCTCGCTTTGATGAATCATTTTGCAATTCATATAAAATTGACCGTCGAGAGGTACAATTTCCTTAATATACATAATTATCAATTAATATATATTTATTGATAAATTTATCGCACGTACACTCTAACTCAAGAATTTAATAAATTTTATAACTATGATAATGAATATAAAAGTACCAACCTTATATTTTAAAATTCCAGATAGCAGGAAGAATCCCAAAATAATTTATGTTTATGTCACTAATTCTGGATTCTTTTTCAGATGCAAAAAGAATTCGGAATTGGTGACATAAAAATGAAATGTCTAATGAATTCTTTTTGAATTCTTTGTGCTATCTGAGATGACATCGACGAAAAATTGGGAAAATAAAACTTGTTTACATTTTTTTGTAAAAAACTTTACATAACTTTATACAATTTCAAGCGTCAACGATTCTACTTTGCACTCGATCGCCATATTGGTTTTCCCAATGGAAAAATCATTAGGCGCGTTCAGCGGAAAAAGTGCTCAGTGAACAATCAACGATTATTGGTTTTTACTGTTAGATTTCTAAATCTAGATCAGTTACATTGACGAATTGCTCAATTGTTATGCAACTGTTGAGTCTGCTAAATGCAACTATTGTTTCATGGAATGGAACAAGGAATATAGTTCTATCTAAGATGAATTGATAATACCGATGAGTCGATTATATCGACGAAATCATTATGTTGTTGATATAAAAAATTTGGGGAGAAGTAATGTACATAATACCGTGTCATAAAAACTTAATAATAATTTTTAGATATATTTACCCACACAGCAGAAATGTTCAAAATACATCACAGGGACATCCTATAGATATCGTGGTGTCCATAAGATATCTCTATGATATATTTTGAACTATTGTGTGGATAATTATCGAAGAATTTTTTAAAACCAATAACAACCACGCAATGATGGTTACAGATATTTATTTCTGCGGGAATGTTCAACAAACTATTGTATGCGCAATAAGAAATTTTCAGTCTTTCAAACATACGTGACATGCTAATTAATGGCCTAATTAGCACATCGTGCTCATCTTCGGCACGTTAAACCGCCTTCGTATCCTGATTTCATTCTTTAAATTATAATAATCCCTCTCCTCGAAGTTTCACAGTTTCGACGGGATAAGATTTAATACAGTTTGACCGAGAATTCCACGGCAGGTGCGATTCTTCGTCGACATTATCCGCCCGCCAAGATAATTATTCGCAACTATCATTCTGCGTGGCTCCCATTGGCTCTGAAAATTCTTTATGATTAAACAATAGATTACACGGAAGCATAGAATGTTATACGGAATAGAAAAGCAGTATATTCAACGTTCATATACGCTTCATACATTGCATTCGCATTAATGGGAATATCGTGTATATTTGTTATGTAGCTATATATAGGGTGTGTCAGAAGGTAAGGTCGACTGATTAGGAAGTGAAAGAGGAGCATGACTAGAATACGCATATACTGTGAGTAAAATTTTTTCCTATTTGATATGGTTTATTTAATGAATATAGCACTCTGTAGGGGTACATATAAAGCCCTTAATATTTTGGAAAAAACTGTTTTATCGAAAAAAATATTTTATACAAAAGTTGTAGGATTTTAAGAGAAACATTACACAGAAAAATTATGACCTTGAACAAAGTTGTAAAAAATGGAGATTGCCATTAAAAAACTGCAAAGTCTTCTTTATATGACTTGGACGAGGTCATATTAATTTTTCTGTGTAATGCTTCTCTCAAAATTCTACAACTTTTGCATAAAACTTTTTTTTGAAAATATATTTTAAATAGTAAGGGATTTGAGCACTTTTTGTATGTCCTTACAAAGCACTGTATTTACTAAACCATAGCAAATAGAAAAAAATTTCACTTACATTTTGTGTATATATTCTATTCATACTCCTCTTTCATCTCCTAGTCGGTTTTACCTTACCTTTTGACACCCTCTATATACACATAAATACACATTCACACATCACGCATTACGACGCACATATTCACGCCTATACCGCATATATGCACGCACGTGTTCGATATATTCTCGAGTTACAGTACGACAGTGATTATCTCTGTGGGAACGTTGCGTCGATATCGGTGTAAAATTCGAAGCTGCCAAGAGGATACCGCGATTAACAATGGTATCGCGTGATTACGCATGCATTCTGTTGCGTTTGTTCATACGCACAGGTGATAGCGCGGGTCTATATATGCGACGCACTCCGTTCGATCATCCGTGACATTCGAGGTAGAATTTATTCGTTTCGCACGCGAGGTGCTATTGAGGTGTAATGGGAGGAACGCGTCTCGTGGTACTAATGACAATCTTCGCGATGTAAGATCGTTGATTATATTATTTACAACTCGAGCGGCTGTAAGAGTGCCAATTCTGAGATCTATAAAACTTGCATCACTCCGTAAATTTTAAGGAAGACAGTCTCATTGAATCGTAATGAGAGATTCATCGTAAGAATTGTTTCACTCAAGCTTGAAGTGGACTCTAATTTCATACAACTGAATGTTTCAATCAATTGGAGTGAATTTATTTCTGTGACAGTAGAAAATATCATACTTATTTTACAATTTCAAGTGAAAATATTCACTTGACGATTCATTCTGTGTAAATGGAAAATTAATCAAGTCCGAGTGATTCGACTATCGTACTATACTCTAATCTAAATTTCTTAGTATCAAATTTCATTAAAAAAAATAGAACAACAGTTGAGTCAATTTTCACTCGTTTTAAGTGAGGTTTTGCTTGAAAAAATGCCGAAAATACTCTCTGAATCTCTTAGGGTGTAATTTTATTCGAAAGATACTTTCTATATTTCTTGAGACTCGGTTGTTATTTTATTTCTCGACTAAAATTTCAAAAAGTTTCTAAAATATTCAATAAATACGTTTTCGCGTTCAGAATTTACAATGAGTAATTTAGATTGTAGCTCGAGTTCGGGAAACAAATTTATCGCGACTGTGGGTTTATTTATTTTTGGAACATCAATACCTCTCACAGAAATCATTATTTGCAACTTTCATTACGCGTGGCTTTTATTGGTCCGAAAAAAAAAATTCTTCATCATTAAATAACAGAATGTTACAAAGAATATTTTCCGTAAGGCTAGAGGAGGTTGCGCAAGGATGCAGTTGCGCGGCGTTCGATGTTTCGGGAATAGAACCGATAATAGAATATATGCTTCGATACAACGTGGACTGCGATCGAGAAAGCATCGAGAAGACATGCGAGCAACTGTGCATCGCCTTGGTAAATATGCTGCTTCTTATTGTTCAAATGCTATTTCTAAAATGCTATTTCTTAAATTTGTTGGATTATTTCTTTTTACTAACGTCATTTTGTCGAGAACATTATCAGAGGCTAATTGGCTCAGATAGCAAGATGATGATTAAAAAAATACATAAAAAACGAATTTTTAGTCATAATACTACACTAAAAAACTCATTTAATTGAGTTAATCAAATTTTGGTTAAAATAAGGTGAAACAAATGTTTTGGTTGTGAGAACCAGTGTTTGGTACTTTGAATTAAAGGTTTGATTCTTTGAAACAAAAATGAAACAGGTTTAGTTTCAGAGAATCAAATCTTTGGTAGAAAGAACGAAATTTTGGTCCTCACAATCGAAACATTTACTCGACTCTATTTTAACCAAATTTTGGTTAACTCAATTAAATAAATTTTTCAGTGTAGATTCGAATTTAGCGACCTCAAAAATACCCAAAAATAATTAAATTGTAATAATATAAATCATTCAATAGTATATAGTAATATATTATAACATAATAATATATTATTAAATTATTAAATTATATAAAATATGATTATTAAATTGTATAAAATATAATTGTATAAAATATAATTTTTCAAGAGAAGCATATAGGTGTCATAAAGCAAAAGTGGCACATTTTTTCGTGCGTACACTGAGAGAAAAGACTGGTAACTATAACAAACTGCATTTAGTTACAGAAATTCATTGAATCCTTAGTAACTAATACTAAATATGATAATAATTACCATGATAATAATTACCAAATATTTAATAGATCGGAAGTATGACGTAATTGCATTCACAGTAACATCAATTAAATAATTTAGTAATAGTTACTTAATGTTAAACATTTAATATGAAATATATTACAGTTATGAGCAGATATTTGATAATTGTTATGAAATTGTTATATCCCATGTAATAAAAAATTAAGTAGGTACGAGTTCTATTTTATTAAAAGTATAAGTATATTTTGTTGCAGCACAACGAAAAATTCATTTATTTGCAGCTATTACATCGTTTCAATATCTATTATTACAGATGGTTGGTTGAACCTACCAAAAATTTTGTAACTATTACAAAATCGCTTATTTTGCTCAACTATTCAATAAGTTTTATTTACCAAATATATTCTGGAAGCAAATAAATTTTACTTCTGTCAAATAAATAATTTATTTTACAGAACTAAATTAATTAATAAGTATTGCCATAGCTTTGGCCCGCTATATTTACGTCTACCATTTAGTAATAGTAACCAAATTTTGATAATATTTACTAAATTCTTCTCTCAATGTATATGCGTCATTGACAGTGAAGGGGTTAAGACATCATTCTACTACTTGGGTGGCAATAAACGAGCCGATATCTTTTTGTTTGCTTAGGCTAAAAGTGCATGGGATAAGGCGTCGATGATGATTTGCGAAAAATTGAACACGCACGTTGAGAATTTAAAGGTGAGCGACACGTTTGATTTCATCGATTCGAAAAGTAATTGAAAGAGTAAACGCGTGCTGGTACATTCTCGTGATGAAATTGTTATATGGAAATAAATTTGTGTAAATGACACGAGGAAGCAAATATGATTGGAGCTGAGCTCCAATACGTATATGCAGATTTTAATGCAGTACTCATTGAATGACGCGAACTGAGTGAAGAGTTCGATCAACATGTCGAGAGACGCATCGGAAAATTCATGTAGTCAGAGTTGGGAGCGATTTTCGATTTGGGAAATTAATTTTGTCGCTTTTCCAGATAGCTGTGTACGCGAAATTGTGCGATACTACACTCTGGTCGTTCACCGGCTTTGAGAGCGCAGAGCTCATTTGCTGCCACGAAGGAAAAGTGACAATCTGCGACGAAGCGATGGTAATTGAAAATCAACCAACAGTCAGATCCGTCCCCTAATCTCTCGGGGTTCTTTACCGCCGACGAATATCGCAGCCGATCACACATTGCATTTCTTATTTTATTTTCCGACTGGAGATGAAAATGACTCAGTCTGTGTGACGTAAATTACGGTAAATTACTTGGTGATTTTGGGAAACTGGTAAAATAGTAATTTAGAAGAAAAATTATAAAAACAAAAAAATTCTAGTATAAAGCTCAAAAGGAGCATTTAGCTTTTAAGATGAGTAAGATACACTATTTAACTCATATTTTTCATTAAATATTTTGATATACTGTATATTAATATACTATATATAATATCTAGTAATTAGGAAACTACATAGTAACTAGGGAAACTTAAAAAAAATTATTACGTCTTAATCTATATTTTTCATACCTCGAAAAGTCTCAATCAATATTTTTTGTACCATTTTACAGGCTTACAGCATTTTTATTTATTATCTTATTGTTTTAGCGATTAGACTAGATTGGTATGTAATTGAAAATTTTTAATAGTATTTTAAGAAATGAAAACTTTAATACTTTCGAAAGATTGTAAACAGTTTCTTTCCTTTCATCTAAGAGACGTTTCAGATATTATCAGATGTACATTTAATAAGAATATAAGAAGAACGTTGTTTTATCTAATGCATTAGTGCGGAAAACACGAGTATTTGTGCATGAAATATTATCAGAAACAACAAATTTTATCAAAATTACCAATAAATTATAATTTTATCGTAATTTTATCATAAGTATCGTCACTTTAAATCTGACAGTAATTTTATACCTCTATTTCCGACACATTGGACACGTGAGAGAACGTATATGACACGTTCAACTTGTACATTATTCTTCATTAACGTCCTTGCGATTAATGTTATCGAGATATCATTCACGGCTAATTGTAATAATCCGCGGTGAAATTTATCGGATAATTGTAAGAATAATAAAATTGACACGAGACGCACCAGCGATGAATTTACGTAGAATGCAAGTGATGCCGAGGGCATTACTCGATATGCATTTACACCCTTTGTTCCCCTCACAAAGCTTAGATGTCGAGACGGAAATGTACTGAAGCTTTAATACGAATGATAAAGCTCGAGGCTGAAACACAATAATGTCGACGGTGCTCCAAAATACGCGATTCTATCCGCGAAGAATGATAAATTTTGTCTCGCCGCAAAAAAAGGAATTGTGTTCCTTCTTTTTACTCTCTAAATGTCTTAGGGTGATATCTCACACGAAAACTAGAATGACAGCCGAGTGAATTTCCATTCGTGTTTTGCTTCAAGAGTTCTCTAGAGAATACACTCTGAATTTTTTGAAGAGCAATTTCACTTAAAAGGCAGAACGACAGCTGTCACTCGAATTCGAATGACTTTCCACTCATATAGAGTGAATTCTCTATTCTGCCTCGTCGAGTGAATATTTTCACTCGAAATTGAAAAGTAAATCTGACGTTTTCGCTGTCACATAGGAACTAATCCATTTTAATTGATTAAAATGTTCACTCGTATGGGATTAGAATCGGCTCCAAGCTTGAGTAAAGCACTTCTTACGATTTCGTCACAATACTTTCACTATAGTTTCATGCGAATTTCCATTCGTTTTGAATGAGATTTCACTCCAAGAAATTTAGAAAATACTTCCTGAATTTTGGAATGAAATTTCACTCAAAAAGTAGAGCGATAGTCTCGAATTCGAAAGATTTTCCATTCATAGAGCGAATTCTCTATTCTGAAGTGTCGAGTGAATATATTTCCATTCGAAATTGAAAATAAAATCTGATATTTTTCACTAATCACAAGAACATATTCGCTCCAGTTGATTGCAACATTTAATCATATGGTATCAGAGTCGAATCTAAGTTTGAATGAATTTATTCTTACTATTTCAAGTGGCAATATCTTTACTGCCGCTAGGACAAAATTTACGTTGTTTTTGAATGAGATTTCACTGAAAATAATTTAAGGAGTATATATGGAGAGAATAGTTTCTTTCAAGTGAAATTCTTTTCAATTTTATCATGTTTCCTAGATTTATTTCACTGTTTTCATATTTTTTAATAGTGCAGATATACAGAGATTATCATTAAAATTTGTCTTGCTAAGAAACATAGTAAATTTTTTAATTACTAATTACTATTTTTACTTCTACTTTATTTAATTTTTTAATAATGGACTTCACACTTTTTGATGTATGAATTGCGCTTGTGAGACGAAAAAATAATAAATTAAGGCGAAATGTCGATATGTTCTTCAGTCATAGGTTGCCGTAGTAATTTTTATTATAAAATTCTCGATGTGTTTTTCGGTTACAGAATTTTATAGTATAAATTTTACTATTCAAAATTTCCCCCTGTGTTCCTATCCTATCGTAAAACAGAAATCGCGCGCGTTGAGCGAACGAGCCGAGCAGACTCCTCGATCTTTCTTCGACAACGTAATAAATCGCGAGAAAAGTTACGCGAATTATTCGAATAAATTATCAGGCACGATGTAGCAGGGAGCGCGCACTCGATAGAGACATAACGATCCGCTCGCCGCGTTTTCAACGATATTACGATAGCTTAAGCGCCGATTATCGGTAGAGATTTAATCGAGGGCGAGCACCTGCTCGCTTCGTATCTGAAAGTCAAAGCTCGCTCGAAGAAGAGAGGACTTGAAAGCATTAAACGGTATTCGTTCCCGACTGAATCTCCTTTCGCACAGCACAAATAGCACGGTCCATTATACGGGGTGTATCGGCAGATATGGAAATGGATACGCACGTAAACATCGTTATTCTTTCATCGAGCGGCCCGTGCCTCTTTGATGAGCCTCTTAACAAGAACCTAATTATACGATGGATTCATCGCGAAGAGAGAGCTCTTGTTTCATCGACGATTCTAAACACCTTTTAAAATCACCTAACTCATGTATCTTTGCCTTTGCAGATTACCTGGTAGCGCGTGGAAAAAAGTATCCCTGAAAAATCATCGGAACACTCCGTGAAACTGTGGAATCCTTTATGAGGAACGAGCGATCGTTCGCTGTGAATGCACGGCGCGCACATTAAACTTTAATTGCCCGGATCTATCGCGCTTTTCATTTATTAATTTCTCCCTTCGCTTCGCAAAGAGACCCCGTCGTTTTTCCGAGCCCGTTCTTTCGAGTTGGGCGTGAAAACTCACGCCGATCCGGCGCGACTGTCACGGCAAGCATAATCCTGATTTTTTTGCCCGAGTGAGATCGGCCGAGCGACTCGATATACCGGCGGCGGGTTCTCGCGTTTCACACGATCCACCCTGTATACGCGAAATCGTGGATCCTGTCGCGTCCAAGTATGAACGTGTCGGTGTCCGTTCCACCGACTCGAGATACCCTCTATTTCGATGATGGCGTTCTCAGAGTCTTGTCCCAGAAGCCACCGGCATTGAATGGACGGTTTGTTATCGCTTTCCCTCGCCTCCTACTTGCCGGGGATGAGTCTTCCTCCGAACTCCGACGCGTCTCTATATAGAGCTCGTCGCGAAGGCCATTGTGCGACTGAGGTTTTGTCGTCCTTTCTCCGAGCGATTTAATGACTACACCCTTTTCGAGCAGGAGGGTTTCTTGATCGCGCTCGCGCGCGCGCGCGCGAGGGGGAGAGGGCAGGGGGAAGAGCGATTTCGAGATCGTCGATACGATGCTCGAAAGTACCCTCCCACGAATTCGGCCGCGGAAATTTCGTGTATCGCGGTCATAGACTTATAGGGTCGATTGTACATTTCCATTAGAGGGCTGTAGTCAGCGACAGCAATAGAGAGCAAGAAGCTTCTCCTTGTCTAACCATTTATAGCGTTCTTTCTTTCTTTCACACAGACACATAAAATAGACTGCACTTTGCTGTAGGAGAGATAAACTTAGTATTAGTAAAAGAGGACAATAGAGAGTAAGATGTGCTTCTTTTCTATATGGTTTGATTGATGTAGAGAACGAAGATAGAGAAAAGCGTGCTCTCTTTCTTTCACTATGCTTCACTATGTTTCACTCTTTTTTTTTGTTTATCTTACATCAGCTAGAGTACTTTGTGAAGGAGAAAGCATTTGATTTAGCGTCCCAGACAGCACAAGATTCCCAGAAGATGTCTTGAAGATGTTCTCAGGATGTCCTTAGGATATCCTGTGGAGATCTGTGTTGTTTGGGATATCTCTGTCTTTCAATCTTGTTATCAACCATCCTATAAGAGTGCGCTGTCACTGTCTAGTCTACTATTCTGTCTATGATCTTCTCTTTCTTTCACTATGTTTCACTCTCTCTTTTGTTTACGTCGTCTCCTCCTATAGTGCTGTGTGACAGAGAAAGCATTTTATTGTCTATAATCTGTCTTTTATTCTTGCTTTCAGCTGCCTCGCGAAAGAATGATCGCAGGTATTGACCAGTTCTCGTGGTGATAATAGTGGTGCGATTAATTCGAGAGGTTGCAGCGCTCGTGGTTGTGTTTCTGTGGACTCTTTTGTGCCTATAATTTTGCGACGGCCTGCACGTCGACGTTAATAACCGGACAGTAATTCGTTTGGTAATATTTCCTTTTGCGTTCGCGTCGCCCACATATCGGCCGCGTCGCGTACGTTCTACCGATACGATTAAACGAAACGGAAATTGAGGTAACTAATTGTGGGTTTCCGGTTCGGTCCCTTTGGCGCAAGGTATTGCGCAATACACATCGACATGCACGCACAACACATGATCGCTTCGGTGAAATCCTCGATTTCGTTCCCCAATTCATCGCGTGGAAAGATTGTTATCGTAGACATTATCAAAAATATATAAGACACAACACCTCAAAGTCAATATTATTATATAAATATACAAATAAAGTCAAGCGAACGTTTCGGTCCCAGCTTTGAACCATTTAGCGTTATTTATTTACACAACTATTCGTAAGAAAAAGAAAACGCAAAAATGCAGGGTATAATATCAATGTTATTATTATTAAATATTGCCACAAGAGAAAGTCTCGAAGTGTTTCATCGATTTTGAGCTTAAATCAGTATAGAATTTTTTTAGGAAATTTAAATAAAAAAATTTCTGTTTGATTATTTTGTAACCAATTGATTTTTGTCAAAAATGCCGACACACGTTAATATTGTCTTCAAAAGTGCTACATAACTGTGATGTCACTTTATTTCTTTAATTAGGGTAGTTGTCCTAAAAAAATCTTAAATAGCAGTAGGGATTAAATAATACATCACCCAAAGGTATTTTAATTTTCTTCACAACGGTGTTTATTTTTTTCTTTAATTTGAGTGAATATTTTTTAAAAATCGCATTTGAAAATTTTAGGCACGAAAAACTGAAAATTCACAATTTAAAGAAAGATTTATTTTATTAAGTGTTCAAATAATATTATTTGACCACTATTTTTATTTAAGATTTTTTGGAAGATAGCTATCTCAATTAAGGAGATAAAGTGATGTAATTAAATTTATCACAATCATGTAGAAAACAATATTGACGCATATCAGCATTTTTGATAAAAATCAGTTGGTTACAGAATAATCGGGGTGGAAAGTTTTCGTTCGCGGATTCTGTATATAGACTTTTTAAAGAAGAATTTTATTGTACATATTTTAATCCTATGATGTTCGTAGGATCTAATCCTACGTGAGTACATCAACTTTTGAGAAAAATATTTTATTGTAAATATTTCAATGTAATAATGGGAGAATATATCAACTTTGAGAATATATCACTTTGTGAGATAAAAATTTTTAAAAATATCTGTATATTCAGTAAATTAATCGTGCTGTAAAAAAATCTACTTTAAATACAATTTAAGAACAAATCGATAGCACTTCCATTTCATATTTTTTACGGTAAAACAATTTTGAATAGAGATTAAAAGTAAGAGTACAATCTCTATTTTATATTACAGTATTTATAGTATTTATATAGAAATTAATTTCTGCCAATATTTTCAATTAAAGTTAGCAAAAAAATTACTATAATTTTTTAAAATTTTATTAAATTATTGAAAATTTTATAAAATTTTGCTGCTATTTTTTTTAAAGATTGAGAGTGCAAATAGAAATTTGTGTTATTTAAATCTCCTACAATAATTCTATACTGGTCTAAACTCGGAATCGATAAAATACTTCGGAATCTTCCTTTATAAATAAATTAAAATTTTTTGCATGGAAATACAATGTGTAGTAATTTTTTCTATTGTCGAGAACAGCATACTACTAAAACGTTAGCTTAAAATAGTAAGGTAGTCATATCTTGATAGATATTGAAATTATATTGATTTAATTACGAGATAATCTTGAATTAACAAAAAAGATTTTGCATTAATTTTCAAGTTTCAGATTTTATTAAAAATCCTTGTATTAAAAAATGTTCGGATTTAAAGTTTATTGAAAGTCCTGGCAAAAAAATATATATGACATTTTAAAATTCATCATAACGTCGCTATCATCTTTAGCAACATTACTAAAAGGTCCTTAAGTTTAATATTGGTGTAATACTTTTGTGTCATGTGACTTACGATTGTCGCGGTAGCGACGTAAACCAATCATCTTCGCGGATCATCCAGTCTCAAGCCAGAAACTGTACGGAAAGTTGCTTGCATAGAAATTCTTCAGGATTTTCGCAGACCCAGCATGGATTCCGATCAAAACGTAGAAATTTGTCCTGAAGTAGGTCACTCCACTACAATACCACTTGAGAATCCCATTCTTCTTCTGAACACGAATTTTCTGTATAGAATCAAAACAAAAATACTGTAGAAACAAGTTTTCTTTTTTAATAGACAAAATTGGCAACTTCTCTTATAGAATTAAACTCTTATAAAATTCCACTTTTGTTTCAACTATTATAAATTCAATAGAAAACAAAAAATAAAAATAAATAAAGAAATATCAAAACATTATGACAGAAAGCTAAGCGTGTGCTATTTCGTTCGTGTTACAGATATTAACTATAATACATAATATTAACAATCAGAAGACAAAAAACATAAGAAAATTTTAATATCTCCCGTTATCGCGCTCTTTCTTCCTTCCCT